CGAAACCCTGGGCCACCGAAGCAGAGCCCACAAACCCACGAACTTAACCACTCGGCCACGGGGCTGGCTCCTGGCTATTTTCTTTTAAGCTGCATACACTTTCACATGTCCAAAGCAAGGCCTGTTTACCCATCGTTCCCAGGTGGCTCTTCCTGCAGTCTTACTCATCAAGATGTGGGTCAACCATCTACCTCAGAGCTATTCATGGTTGCTCTTTTTCCTTTTCTTCCACATGCACCAGCAGGTCCTGTTGACTCGATATCCTAAAAATACTCCCAATGGAATCACTTTCCACTGCCTCCTCTCTGGTCCAAGCAACCTTCATTTCTCTCCTGTCTCTGTCCCTCTCCAGACCATTCTTCACCCAACCACCAGGAAGGTCTTTTCAACACATAAGATCATGTCACTACCCTGCTCAAAACCCCACACAGGCTTCCCGTCAAACTTAAAATGCAAACCTCTTAGGGAAGCCACAGGTCCCTGGGGCTCCACCCCTGCAGATACCCTCAGTCTCCATGCCCCTACCATGTCCTCCCTCTCTTTTTTTTTTTTAAGTTATGCTTTTTGGTGAGAAAGATTGGCCCTGAGCTAACATCTCTTGCCAATCTTCCTCTTTTTTCTTTTTTCTCCCCAAAGCCCCAGTACACAGTTGTATATCCTAGTTGTAAGTCCTTCTAGTTCTCCTATGTAGGATGCTGCCACAGCATGGCTTGATGAGCAGTATATAGGTCTGCACCCGGGATCTGAACCAGCGAACCCCGGGGCTGCCGAAGCGGAGAGCATGAATTTACCTACTACGCCCCCAGGCCAGCCCCCATGGCCTACCTCTTGTTCACTCTTCTCCAGCCTCACCAGCTTTCTCTCTGCAACCCAAATTGCTCATCTCCCTGCCTGGAATGTTCTTCTCCCAGATGCCCCCTTCTCATTCCTTGGGTTTCAGATTAAATCTACCTCCCTAAAAAAGCCTTCTCTGGGGGCTGGCCCTGTGGCTCAGTGGTTAAGTGCGCACATTCCACTTCAGCAGCCCAGGGTTCACCGGTTCGGATCCCGGGTGCAGACATGGCACTGCTTGGCAAACCATGCTGTGGTAGGCGTCCCACATATAAAGTAGAGGAAGATGGGCACGGATGTTAGCTCAGGGCCAGTCTTCCTCAGCAAGAAGAGGAGGATTGTCAGCAGATGTTAGCTCAGGGCTAATCTTCCTCAAAAAAAAAAAAATTTAAAGCAAAAAAGCCTTCTCTGACCACCCCCAGTCACTCTTTATTCTAAAACCCTGTTATTTCCTTTAAAGGGCTTTCACTATCTGAAATGATATATTTGTTTGTTTTCTATTTATTCTCTGACCCCCTCACTAGAATCTAGGCTCCGTGAGGGATGTTGTCTTTTTCCATGCAGAGTCCCCAGTGCCTGGCATAGAGTAGGTGCTCAACAAATACTTGTCAGATGAATGAATGAATGAGTGAATGCATGTGGGCAAAGAGGGCTCCATCCTGAATTCCTGCAGAGTCTCTGCTCTCTGCAGTGAATCCCCAAGCTTACCTCCATGCGCCGGCCCCTGAAGTGGGAAGGAGCCCCAGACGAGGCTCAGACCTGTGTGCACATAATAATAGTTGACACTTACTGTGTATTTTTTATGTGCTAGTCATTGTGCCAAGCACTTCAAAGCATTAACTCGTTTATTTCTCGCAACAACCTCTGAGTTACCGTGAGGTTACTACTATTATCTCCACTTTACAGACATGTAAACTGAGACTCAGAGTCGTAAAGTAATTTGCCTAAAGTCCCAGCTAGAAAAAGGCAAAGTGTAGACTAGAACCTGGTCTTGAGGTCTCTGCCTCAAGCCGTCCGGGGTTGCAGGGAGGTGCCCCTGTTGTGAGTCACCTCGTGAGCCATCTACCCTCACATCCACCCAGCCATCAGCCAAACCTCCCACTGCCCTCCAGTCCGTGACGTCTGTGGAGTTCTTGTTCTGTGCTGGGGGTTCCCGAAAAGGAATATGGATGTTTTATCCTTAAGCTGCTTTCGGTCTAGAAGACCAGGTGTTTATGCCACACAGAGGTCCAGCCGGAAGCCTGCAGGAGCTCAGAGGAGGGAGAAAATTCTTCCAACTGAGTCAAGGGAGAATCTGAAGCAGGCGGCATTTGAGTTGGGTCTTGAAGACTGAATGAGATTTCAGCAGTCAGAGGGCAGGCCAGGTGAAGGAAATGGCAGGAGCAAAGGTGTAGGGGCTGGAAATAGTAGGGTGTGTTTGAGGAATTAGCAGCAGAATCCTTGAAATGCTCATCACCTTCCTGTGGTCCCTGTGGAAGGGAGGCAGTGGGGCCTGAGGCCTTCACTGCTCTCCCAGTCCTGCAGCCAGACAGCAAATAAACACCACCAGTGTGCCAGAAACCTTACATCCATCCATTCAGGCATCCATTCATTCACTTATTAGGGAACACGGACTATGTGGCAGGTACTGTTTAGGTTCAGGGAGGGGAACAGGATCCAGGGGAGTTTGCAGTGCCAGGGGTGGGGTGGAGAGACACACCAAAAGCATATGCTGCCCATGCTGTGAACACCACACAGCAGGCTGTGACCATGACCTGGGGAGAGGCTGCTCCAGATGGAGTGGTCAGAGAAGGCCTCCCAGGACCATGATATTTACCCTAGGACCTGAATGGCAAGAAAGAGCCAGCCAAGCACGGCTCTGAGCGAAGAGCTGTCCAGGCAAAACATGCAGTACAAAGGCCTGAGGCCAAGGGTGAGCTTGGCAAGGTGGAGAGATAAACAAGGCCAGTGCAGCATGGGGGCCTGAATGAGGAAAGGTGGGTTAAGACTGGTCAGCCAATGTCAGCCCTACAAGGCCAGGGGAAGGAATGAGGGTTTTATGCTGAGGACCATAAGAGCTAATTGTTGCTCAGGGGTCAAATAGTAAGTTAGAGTCAAAAATGCAAGTGCCTCCTGGGACCCAACAGAATCATCTGTGAAAACATTCTCCCAGCGACGTGGTATTTGCCAGATAAAACTTAGCTGAAATCCATATTGTATTTACAGTAAGAACAGAAGGCCGAGCTTCTTGATCTGAACCGCCTGCACTCCTAGAATGTAAGAGCAGTACGTGTGTGTGTACACACACGCTTTAAAATCTGTGTAACTAAAATCCCCTTACTGCAAGCTGTTCCTGAACCCCAAAGAGGGACCACAACTCAGATGATTTGCTGTGGGCAGGAAGACCATTCAAAGAATTTGGACTTCAGTTCTGGGGCCCACCTCTATCTTTTGAGATTTCCTGGCTCTCAGTCGAGAAAGCAGAGTCCAGGGAACAAAACATGGATTTTGGAGCCAGAGTGATGCAGTTTCAAATCCACTCCAGAGCGTGTATGGCCATGTGACCTTACCAAGCCTCTCCCCCCTAAGGGGCAGTTGTGAAGATAAAATGAGATAACCCCCGCACACAGAGTGTCTGGCATCCAGGGCTCAGGAAACCACAGCTCCCTGCGCTCTCTGCCTCTTCTCTGAATTCCTGGTCCCTGGAAAACACTGCTAGCCTTGGGCACTGTGTACACACCTGACTTCTTTTCTATAGATGACTTCTGTTCAGATGGGCTGGTGTCCTCATGAGGGCCTCAGGCATCTACCTACGAAACAGTGAGGTGTGTCTGGTCACCCTCACCAGAGCGGTGAGGTGTGGTCCCTAAGAGTGGCCATGAGCAGCCCTGGGCTGAGTGGAGACAGGTTTTCTGGCCTCTGGGGTGCCTGGGAGGAGGATTAGAAGAAGGAGCCAGCCTCCAAGGCCAGGAGGATCCCTGGAATAGAGAGAGAAGGTTCCCCAGCTTGGACTCTGTCCTCAGATTACCAAATCAAGTCCACGCTTATCAGCACCTGCTAGGGGAAGGTGAGAAATGGGAACGTAAGGTAGAATCTTGAAAATACAGTTTCCTGGATATAATCCAGCAGCGAGGCCCAGGGCTGTTGTGAGGATCAAGCACACGGAGGAGTGTGGGAACGGCTCGCTCATCATCGCTCCTGCCTGCTATTTGGTCTTTACTGGACACAGGCAGGCCTGGCCAGGGCCCAAGCTGTGAGGTCAGGACTCTTCCCGTCGCTTTTGTTTTCTCTGACACTCAGAAACCCATTGTTTCCCTTTGTTGGCTTCTTGGAGCAGAAGATGATGCAACAAACTCATTTACATTAAGTTGCAGAAGTAAACAAAGATCACCCAAATGAGATCAGGCAAAGGCTTGGAAAGGAGTCAGCCACTGTCCCTTGCATTTGGCAGAGCCTCAAAGGCAGGCAGGGGTGAGAAGGCTTTAGAGCAAAAAAGGGAAGGCTCAGTTGTGCCCCGACTGGAGGCTATGGCGGGGAAGCGGGAGGCAGGCTAACGAGAAAGGGAGCATCCTATGTGATCCGTTTGGGGAGCATATTTGGCTTTCACTGGTTGGTCCTGAATTGGAATCGGGGGTAGAGAGTGGGAGGTAAAAATTCGGGAAGCTGGCAGTCACTGAGCTGATCCTGACTGTTTGGGGCCAACTGCTGCAGAGGTCGTGGTTTGGCTGGAGGGCTGGCTGCTGCAGAGGTTGTGAGACGTGTTTTTATATATGGACTGGCCATTGTCCCCTTCGTATATTCAATCTCTCAAAGGCGTTAGGCGTTTGTATGGGCCTGTTATTCCTAGAAAGGATATCACAGACACCCCCAGCCCACTCTGCACCTTCTTCCTCAAGTGCCTTCGGCCTGGCTCCTCCCCTTGTGGCTACTGCCATGCACCTAGACACCCAGGACAGGCACCTGCAAGTTTTCCTCTGCCCATTCCTCCTGCCCAACCCATCAGCCATCATGCAAACCCTCTGTCTTCTGTCTCCTACCATCTCTGGAGTCCATCCTCTCTCTCTATCTCCACTGCTATGACCTGCTCTGAGCCCCTGTCATCTCCCCACTGGACACCCAGCATGGCCTCCTGTGACTTCCCAGCCTCCCATCCCGGGTCTTCCGATCCATCCACCACACTATCGCAGGTGTAAGCTCCCTGTTTTCATCTTTAGGTGATGTATTTAATTAGGGGACACATACACATCGTACAAAATTCAAGAGCACAAAAGAATGAAACAGCAAGGGCCCCCTCCCACGCTCTGCCCCAGGGCCCTTCCTGAGGGCAGTTCCAGCAGCCAGCATGGCGTACGTCCTCCAGAGCAGGGACTTCTCACCCTTGGGAGTCTGGTGGCAGGATTCAGCAGGCCTGTGAACTTGGATGGAAAAAAGTTACATTTTATTGTCAATAACCTCTCAAGAAAATTTAGCCTTTCCTTCTGTTGTGAATGTAGACTACAAACCACAATAGTACTAACGATGTCTTTGACTTTGCTGCCAGTAGAAATCACAGATATTTTCACATCGCATTACAGCTGTTGCCAGGACCTTGAAATATTGTTTATGTTAATCATGACTTTGAAATGACAATAGCCATTAGCCAGTGAAGGTCTTACCAGTTAGGAAAAAGTCACACATATCACTAGCTTGCCCATTTTTTCATATTTTAATGACTGTATTTCAATATAATTGGTTTCCTTTGCAATCCAATGCATTTTGTTTAATGCATTTAAAAAACATTATTCTAAGAAGGAGTTGGAAGTCTTCATCAAGGGAATCCTAGTACAAAAAAAGGTAGGAATCCCTGAATCAGAGATTTTCCTAAGTATATACAAACCCTTATGTACATATTCTTTTAAATCACATATGGTAGCATCAGTGTAATCTGACCATGTTATCCTCTGCTTAAAACCTTTCAAGGGCCTCCCCTTTGTACCCCTGTCTCCTGGATAAAGTCCTAGATCCCTCTCAGGGCAGACAAGGCATTTTCCAAGCATCATACCCCTCCAAGAATGCATCTTGATCTTTTCTGCCTCATTCTGTTCCCTCTGTGCTTACTCCCTTACCCCGGCACCTTTTGCTCACCCACTGAACTCCTATTCATCCTTCAGCACCCGCTCAGCATCCCCTCTCTGGAAGCCTTCCTCAGCCTAGATGCCGGGGGGCTCAGGGAAGAGCCCCCTTCTCCTCTGGGATCCCACTCTCTGGTGTCTCCTTTGCAATGGTGCTTGCCAGGCTGCCACCTGGTGCCTCGCCTCACTCTCAAGACCCAGGAGTGCTCACTGCCAGAAGCATCTCTACTTGCGAGGGGCAGAGGGGCAGCGGGTGTGGCCCAGTATGTACCAATCCATCCCCACCCCTGGGTTAACCTTCAGTCACCAGGAGGAATAAGTTGTGACACCTCTGAGACTGTGGGCATATTTGCTGCTGCCCAATAGCCACAGGCTGTGCATGGGCAAAGGCCGTGATGCCCACAGGTCCCACACCTTGCCCACACCCAGGGTCCAGAGTCTGCCCTGATTCCCTGGCACCTTCATCTCCACTTGTGCCTCATGCATCACCCTGGTCCCCCAGCAGCGCAGGAGCACATTGGTCTCCCAGTGCCAACTCTGCCATCTGCTCACTGTCATCTGCAGTCCTTTACAGCTTATACCTACATATTCACATCCTTCATCCTTAGAATAACCCAGCAGGGTGGGTATCTCTCTTATTCCCTTTTGTAGATAAGGAAACTGCATGAAGGAGATAACAGCGTGTACAGCACGAAATGCTCAATGTTGTTTACCAACAAAAAAAACAAAGCTGAGAGAGGTTAAGTAACTTGCCCAAGGACACATAGCAATAAAACTGGGCCTGGATGCTCAGGTTTTCTGAACTCTGACCTGTGTTTCCCATTACAAAAGAAGCAAGTTGCCAGTTTTGGGGTTTGGAAGCCCTCTGAGGGTTTATCTCTTCGGTCTGCTGTTGGCTTTGCAGGGCTGCCCACCCACCCACGGCCTTATAGGCCAGCCCACACGGGGCACTCAGATTCCCTGAGGGCCAGAGCTGGGCCAGACTCATGTCTGTATCCCTAGTGCCTAGCATTTATTCACTCATTCGTTCACAGTGTCAACTCTGTATAGGTACCAGGCACCCTGCTGGGGGCACAGAAGCAGACTCAGACCCTGCTCCCTGGAGAGTCTGACGACAAAGATTGATATTCATCAAGAAATTCATGAAACTAAATGTTTAATTACAGACTGTGATGAGTGCTATGCAGAAGAGATACAGGGGCTTAGAGTATCAAAAATGGGGAATATACCCCAGCCTGGAAGCCACAGACACTTCCCTGAAAAAGGAATCTTTGAGTTGAGATCTCAAGAATGAGTAGACAGGGGCCGGCCCAGTGGCGGAGCGGTTAAGTGCACACGTTCCGCTCCGGTGGCCTGGGGTTCGCCAGTTCGGATCCCGGGTGCGGACATGGCACCACTTGGCAAGCCATGCTGTGGTAGGCGTCCCACATATAAAGTAGAGGAAGATGGGCATGGATGTTAGCTCAGGGCCAGTCTTCCTCAAAAAAATAAATAAATAAAAATAAAAATAAAAGAATGAGTAGACATTAACTGGGCAATGTGGGAAAGGAGAGAGGAAATTGTGTGCAAAGCCCCTGTGGCTTCAGAGAGGGCGGAGTATCTGAGGAACTGGAAGAGGGCCAGTGTGGCTGCAGCAGAGGGAGCAGGGAAGAGAGGCACAGACCAGCCCCGCACTCTTCCTAAGAGCCGTGGGAGAGCCTGAAGGGATCTGAGTTGCTTGGAGGTGAGTGTGTGTATGTTGGGGAGGGTGGATTAAACAGATTTCTGCCCCGAGATCTCACTGGCTACAGCAAGAAGAGATTTCAGGGGCAAGAGAGGAAGCTGGGAGGTGACTAAGGAGGCTCTTGCAGGAGTCTTGGTCCCAGATGCTGGGGCTTGGATCAGGCCAGTGGCCCAGAGCTGGAGAGAAGTAAATGGGAGGCATTTATGGGAAAAGTAAAATGAGGCCTAGAACCAGCAGGACCAGAGATCTGGAGCGAAGAGGGTATTTGTTGAATGACTGTCTGATGAACAGGGCTGATCCCCGAGGTCCCACTTCTAAAACTGGAGATACTAACCTCGGAATGGGACAGACTGTGGAGCCAAGGAAAAGGGATCCCCAGGACTCTACCCTGAGGGGGTGCCCCAGGGCCTGGCACCTGACCCGGGGAGGCCCCTCCGAACCCAAACAGCTCCCCAACCTCAAACCCACGCCCACTAAGCTTCAACCAACAAATGTCAACAAGGCGGTGCTAGACCTCCCAAAGTCACGGTCCTCACTCCTGGATGGGAGTGATGACAACTTCTGCCTCAGGGAGAGGGGAGGATGAAATGAGAGAGAATGTGTGCAAAATGCCCACCCACTCTGCCTGGCCACTGTAAATTCTCCACTCTGGCTCACATCCGCCTTCTGGGTCCATAGAGACTCACTCCACCCGGAATTGGGCCTGGGAGTTTAGAAAATTCCCAAAGTGATTGCCTCAGGGAAGCCACAGTAGTTGGTGCTAGATAGATATTTTCTTTCCCTTTGTCTTAATGCAGGGATTTTAACCCACTTCTGAGCCATGAATGCCTTGGGCTATCTGGTGAAGACTATGGACGCTTCTCAGAACATTGCCTTGAGATGCACAAAATAAAACGCATAAGATTATAAAGGAAACCAATTATTTTGAAATACAGTTATAAAAATGTGAAAAAATAAATCACAATTCAGAAACATAGGTTCTTCTCCATGAATGCATTAAATAAGATCTAGTGTTGATATAATAACTACCATCGTGTCAAAATAGTCATGTGTGTAGACAATATTTCAAGATATATTTTGAGATAACTGTGACAACTGGTCTGTGCAGGCGTCTGATAGCTGACAGGCACAATCAAACATCTGTGACAAAATCCCCAACAGTACTGTCAACAGGAGTATGGTTTTGTTGCCTGTGTTCATAACCTTAGTTAGATGTTAGTGAAAAGATGAAATCGTTTTCCCATCTGACTTCATGGATCCCTGGAATTCTATGCCCCAGTTAAGCACCCCATGAACCAGGAAGAGCAGGTCAGTGAGTTAGGCTACAGCTGGACAGGCTGCCCAGAAGGTGGGGTGGGGACACAGGGCCAGGGCCACCAGGGCCAAGGAAGGCTTCTCGGAGGAACTTTGAAACCAGTTTTACCTTTTGAATCCAGAGACAGACAGACAGACAGACATGGAAAGGGACGCAGAGTAGCTGTAAAGGAGTAGGGAGTGAACACATTGGAGCTCACGGGGCACATATGACTGTTCACGGGTCCCCCTGGAGTGTAGAAATGGGGTCTCAGATGTGAAGGCACTTGCCCGGAGCCAGGCAACAGGAAGTGGCAGGCTCCAGGGAAGATAGTTCTGTTTGGATACAGAGCCCCGGCTCATCCCCAGACACCCCACCGGTCACAGCGAGCTTGAGGCTGGAGGACACCCCGCAAGTGCAAGGGATCAAGCTCAGGGTAGAAAGTGAAAGTAGGGGTTCAGAACCAGATGGGCTAGCTTCTTCACTTGCTATTTGTGTGACATTGACACATTTATTACTTAACTTATGTCTTTGTTTCCTTGTCTGTGAAATGGGAACAATAGTCTTTACCCCACAGTGCAACCAAATGCCGCTCAAAGGCATCTGAAGGCGTGGAGCACGATGCCTGGCAGAGGTAGTCCTCAGGGTACTTCTGCTGTTGTTAGCAGAGTTTTCTTCTTGAATCAGCAGAGTGACCCATCGCCCCAGCCCCCCTCCTTGTCTCTGGTCAGAGAATTCTGGGTGGGCGGGATGGGGGGTCACCAGGGTCCAGAGGGGCTGGCCTGCCCTTAGCCCCAGGGGCGGGTGAGTAACTGGCCCATGCGATCATTGCAGGTGAGGAAGTGGTTGAGGAAACAGCAGCTTCAGCAGAATTGGTCTCCTGCTGTGGGAGGAGAAGGGGTGGGTCTCTGGTCGAGGGTCAAGGTGGCCCCACCCCTGGGGCCCATGAGTTCCTGTCCAGGGTGAGGAGGGGTGGTGGAGGTTTCATGGAAAGTGAACCTAGCATCAGACAGATTGGGCTCTGCAGCGGGGCTGTGCAGGCTGTGTGCTGTACCACTCCAGGGGCGCCATTTACCTCGATGACAGAGGGAATGCTCTTGAACACCAATCCAAACATCTTGCCTGGGTTCCATCCTGGCTCTGCCCTTCCCTAGTTCTATGACCTGGAGCAAGCCACTCACCCCACCCCCCCCCAAGCTCATCCATAACTTGAGACCACCACACCCACCTTAACAGCTGTTTGAGTTTCATCCAACAAGAGACATGAAAATATCCAGCTCTTAAGAG